ATCATAATTTTAAACCTAAACCTATTTATCATTTTAATTTGTCATTAAGCGAGATGATAATGGACGAGTGGTTGTCGTTTGGCGTAAGGATCTTTACCTCCAAGAAGCCCCTCGACAACTTGCTAATATTGACTTCGGTTCCCCACAAGGACAGTCTTACGGCTATTTCCTACTTTTTTGATAAGAAACTTGATCTGAGTATTCCTAAATCAGTCATTCTCAGATTAACTGATCTAGTACTCATCCTTAACATATTTGGCTTCAACGATCAGTGTTTTGAACAGGTTGGCGGAGTAGCACTGGGTACTAAGATGGGACCTAGTTATGCTTGTCTCTTTGTCGGGTACGTGGAAGAATGTTTTTTGCTTCATACCAGGGTCCAATCCAAGAACACCACAAGCGCTACATTGACGATGTTTTGGGTGCTTCTTCAAATTCTAAATCTGACCTGGAAGATTTCGTCATGTCATCTATCTTAGAGACTGCTTCTAATAAACTCATGTCATCTATTTTAGAAACTGCTTCTAATAAACTCATGTCATCTATCTTAGAAACTGCTTCTAATAAACTCATGTCATCTATATTAGAAACTGCTTCTAATAAACTCATCTCATCTATCTTAGAGACTGCTTCTAATAAACTCATGTCATCTATCTTAGAAACTGCTTGTAATAAACTCATGTCATCTATATTAGAAACTGCTTCTAATAAACTCATGTCATCTATCTTAGAGACTGCTTCTAATAAACTCATGTCATCTATCTTAGAGACTGCTTCTAATAAACTCATGTCATCTATCTTAGAAACTGCTTCTAATAAACTCATGTCATCTATCTTAAAGAATGCCTGTTATAAACTTATGTCATCTATCTTAGAGACTGCTTCTAATAAACGCATGTCATCTATCTTAGAGACTGCTTCTAATAAACTCATGTCATCTATTTTAGAAAATGCCTGTTATAAACTCATGTCATCTATTTTAGAAACTGCTTCTAATAAACGCATGTCATCTATCTT